GTCACCATCGTCGTAGAGCTAAATAGTATCCATTGTACACCAATACAATAGACTAACTTAAAGAAGATATACATGTTTCTTTATGGTTTTTTTTGTTAAGAAACTGCTCCTGTGGCTAATCAAAGCAATTTCAATAGTGGGTCTACAAGGCTAGTGGTTGGGATAAACATCTGGGAATAATTTAGGAAAACTCCCAAGTCGAGTGCAGCATTATACAACAGTAAATCTATTTAATAGTCATGAGGAGTACAACGGAGCGGCGAAAATAACCGTGATGATGACACAGTGATGTCATCATGTGGTTATCTGGCTCGGATTACAAATTGGAAACTTGTGCTTGTGTAACAAGCTGCGGGTGTGGAGGTTGTAAAATGTAGGCACTAACCAGGCAGAGATGCGATATATATATGTGTTGTTGCATGATGGGAAATGTAGGATCCACCGTTTTTGGAGCTTAAAGCAGAATGCAATGACTAAAAGTAAAGGATATCTTGATCTCTATTACTTTAAGTCTGACCATTCTTTTTAAAAAATCTGTCTCCTGTGAGTTCAAAACTGTTTTTTTGACACAACACTATATTGCTGGAGTACCTCTTTAAGAAGAACTATTATAATGATTATTTCATCAATATTGTAAATTAAGAATAAAACATTCTACTTTATATGCGTGTTTTTCCTTCAACAAATGTAAGAAAGGTCATTGTCTTGTTGCTCACTGGTATATCTTTTCATCATATCTTTGCTTCTTTCCTCACCTCGACAGCGACACTGTCCCTCTCCGTGTGTGTGTGTGTGTATGTTTGTGTGTATGTGTGTGTAATAAAGGGAGGGGTTGAGAATGAAAGAGACGTGCGCCCCACGGTCTGCAAGCATCTCATTCAGGCGAGCAGCACCAGCGCCGGCGGCGGCTTATCGCGATGCCTCTCTGAGTCGCCCAACCTCCCTCTCGGTTTCTCCATCTAATGTGAAACACCCAGACCTGGTCCATTGCACATTTATGTCTCAGTTCAACAGATTCATTTGGAGCCGCCTGTTGTTAGAATGCGTCCAGGAGCGCGTCCTCCTCCTCTCGACGCTGTGCAGTCCTCTCCTGTTTCTCGCTGCGCATGCAGTTCTCACCTACTCGCGCCTCGCGTGTCGAGCGCGCCGTCGCGCCTCCGTGCTGCCTGCCAGGCGCCGGTGCACTTACAAGTCCGGTGAGTCCTGCCATCCTGGTCTTCTCGGAGCTGAAATTGGATCTCTGTTGCATTGCATTGGGGTGTATTTTTAGTCTTAAAATGCAAACCTCACGTCACTGCTGGGCATATATAATGTCAGATTTATTTTGTTTATTTTATTTT